TTAACATAACATAAGATAACATAGCATAACATGACATAACATAACACGGCATAACACAACTTAACATAACATAAAATAAGATAAGCTATCATAACTTAACGAAACATAACATGGCATAACATAGCATAGCATAACATGACGTAACATGACATAACATAACATAACATAACATAACATAACATAAGATAACATAACATAACATAACATAACATAACATAACATTACGTAACATAGCAAAACATAACGTTACATAACACAACATAACAAAACATAACATAAAACAACTTAACATGTCATTCTTCAATTGTATCTCTTTCTTTTTCTGCCTTTGTCTCTGCCTTTATCTATAGATATTAGTTCTTATATCTTTATCTTTATCTTTTAATTTTTATATTTATCATTTCCTTGACTTTTAACCAGATCTTTATCTTCGTTCTTTCCTCCATCTACATATTCACCCACATCTTTGCGATTACATATGTAGACTATTAAGAGTTTAAATTTACCTTCCTCTTTGTCTTCATGTTTCGGTTTCTCTTACTTCTGTTAATCTTTGCTTTATCCCTTTCTTCTTCTCCATACTCAACTTTACCTTCTTCCTTGTTTGAGTCTAATCTATTCATGTACATGCATACATACATCTTATTCCTAATCTGCTGCTTAGCACGTTTCTGTAATTCAGTATCAATATTAAAGCATACATTTAGGAGGCATTTCCGCCCCAACCATGTACATGTATGGTATTGGTATTGGTGTGACTTTTGAATTGATTTTTTCGCTCTATTTTAAACTAATTTGAAATTTTAAAAATTGCCTGCACATTAGCATCAAAATACCTTTCTAATGATATATAATTGTTTATACCTTAGAAGTATAGTTTAGCCGTAAAAGGGGTGTAAAGGGAACATGATTGCCTATTTATATAATTGATCTTGCAAACATATTCGTAGAATAAAAAATTGAGTCCATTTTCGGAATTAGCGAGCAATTGTTTATAGGAATTGGAAAGTGGCATCTATTAAACAGTTTTGCTGTAATTTATAAATGTACTTTGTGCTTTTAAGGTAGATATGTCAGTGGCAAAAACACATCGATGTATTTCTTTGATTCGATGCATCGAAATTTATGTACATCGATATTTTTCGATACATCAATTTGCAAAGGATTTTTCAAATATTTAATATTTCAAAACGTAAGATGTTATTTGCAAAACTGTTCAAGATAACTGCTTAAATCTAAGGTATACATAAAATTTGCTTACAACAGAGAAGTTACCAAAATGCAAGTCTTTTTCAGTTGTATTAAAAACTGTATAGGTTTGCTCGAATAAAGGGACTTCCTAGTCACCAGTTCCGAGTATATTCGACTTCGGAGTATGAAGCCTTATGTTGGACCTTTGTCCAACGGACGTATAAAGGACTCAAAATGGAGGAAACTTGCATACGGTTACAGAAGATTTGGAATAAATTGACCGACGAAGACTTGCGTGCCGCTTGGGGTTTTCCCTCAAGGTGTATACCGCTAGTAAACCCAAATAGGGGCCAAACTTTTAAAACTAATTAATAAATTTAAATTGAAATCTGTGGAAAATTAACAGTGAAATACTTTTTTCCAAAAATCTATAAAGGTCCATTTATTAAAGAAAACGCCCTGGTTACAGTTATTTGTCGCCACCCTGTACATACATATGTATGTAGGTGAGAAGATAATTAAGTAAGGAAGGGTAAACGGAAAGATAATTGAATAGAAATTAAAGTTCGTTAGGCATGAAGCTTATATACATAACTCGCTTTTAAAATGCTTGGTGCTTTTTACTTATAAGTCTCAGTTTCCATGGGAGGCTATTCCAAAAACCTATACTATGGTAAAAACAAAGAATTCACGTTCAGATATTGAAGTTTTAAATATCGTGTATATGAGCTGTAATGATCTAATTGACCTAGTGCAGGGATGGGCAAAGTTTTGGCACTTAGAGCAGTCAAAGGTCCAGCAAGAACTACGCGGTGAACAGTTCTCAGGGTAATGAGAGTCGGAGTACAAGAAATTTGAATACGGTCTTCTTCCCCTTCATGCTGGTTCTTGATGTTCCCCTCATCTAGCACCTAAATGTGCCAAGTCGGCTCTTAAGTGCAAAAGGGTCCAGGGAGCCACTTTGCCCTTCTCTGACGCAGTGTAGTGTAACCGATGATTGGTTAACCAAGATTTTGTTCAGCATTATAGGTCACTTTCGATTTGAAAAGTTTTAAAAGGGATGTGGTCACGTCGTTTTAAGCCGTATCTATGTATGGGGTGTTCCATACCAAGACGGACGGAAAATTTTAAGGGTTGATGCATAAACATAAATGATAAATAAATATGAAATTTGAGCTTGATTAATACAGTTTTAAAAACTTAACTTATAATATCTCGAGAAAAAAATCACACATACACATATCAAAATTCTGTATGAAAATAAATATTAAAAAAATTTGTTCTTGAAAAATTTTTCACATACACATTTAGTTTTAGAAATATGTCATTTCAAAAAAAAATTTTAAAAAATCACAATTGTAGCTCTGAGTATTGCGCAATTTTTAAGTATAGTATTA